GTTTTTTTTTTTTTTTTAGAGACATGGTCTCACTGAGATTTTGGGGCTGGATGATGCAAAAACAAAAGACACGGTCTTACTATGTTGTCTAGGCTGGATTCAGAACTCTTGAGCTCAGGCAATCCTGCCGCCTCAGCCTCCCGAGTAGCTGGGACTACACACGTGTGTCACTACATTGGTTTTCTTTTGAAATTAAGATACTGTCTTCACCACCTTTATAGACATAGCACCTTTCTTTGTAAAGAATTCTGGAAAATGTTTCAGTCAGCACTGGTGATCTTACTGATGATTTCTGATGTTTATACAGGAGATAATGGAAGATGAAGATGATGATTTTCTGAAAGGTGAAGTGCCCCAGAGTGATACTGTGATTGGGATCACACCGAGCTCCTTTGACGCACATTTCCGAAGTCCCTCAAGTAGCGTGGGCTCCCCACCCTTGTTGTACATGCAACCCAGTCCCCTCTGACCTCAAAGAGTTGTGACGAGATGTGACATTCGGGATTCCCCATCACTTGTCACGCCCTCAGCACCCAGCTTGTGCTGTTGAGCTTTGACTGCATTGAACTAGAGTGAGCACCTGCCTTGGCTGTGGCACTCCAGGTTAGACTCAATCAAGCATCTGAAGGCTGTTTTTTTTTTTGTTGTTCCCCTTACAGACAAAATGAAAAGACTGAATATCGTGTGCAATATTTTACAGTGCAGTTGATGATAAATTTGGAAGGCTCTGCTTGTTTAATATGTACATTTTTAACAGTTTTTTGACATAATTACTGGGTAATTTCTAATATAGGCACAGACTGTTTTCATGATGGCTCGTTAAACATGGGTTTTTGTCAGATCCATGGTCACAGGACTTTGCTGATCAGCTTTCAGTGAAGAATTTTCTCTGTTCGCTATTAAAGACTTTGGACAGGTGTGGTGGCTCACACTTATAATCCTAGCACTTTTGGGAGGCTGAGGTGGGCGGATTGTCTGAGCTCAGGAGTTCGAGACCAGTCTGGGCAAAGAGAGACATGGTAAAACCCTCTCTCTCTTTTTTTTTTTTCTTTTTAAATTTAGAGCCAAGAAAGGGTAGACAAATCCTGTCTCTTTAAAAAAAAAAAAAATGGCAAAAGACTTTAACTAGAAAGTTTATTTTGGCTATGTTGTTTACCTTCTGCTGTATTGATATTTGTGTGTTGGGATTTCAAGGGAGCGTAGAGAAGATAGGAGAGCAGAGAGCTGGCCTGACTTGGTCTGCCACACAGAGTTGGAGCTAGCACTGGATCTCCAGGGACTTCAGGGACCAATAAAAAAGAGAGGATTGGCCGGGTGTGGTGGCTCACACCTGTAATCCCAGCACTTTGGGAGGATGAGGTGGGCGGATCACGAGGTCAAGAGATTGAGACCATCCTGGCCAACATGGTGAAACCCCGTCTCTATTAAAAATACAAAAATTAGCCGGGCGTGGTGGTGTGATATTGTGCTTGCCTAGAGCCAGAACCGGAATACAACAGTGGCACATGCCTGTGGTCCCAGCTACTTGGGAGGCTGAGGCGGAAGAATTGCTTGAACCCACGAGGTGGAGGTTGCAGTGAGCAGAGATTGCGCCACTGCACTCCAGCTGGCGACAGAGCAAGACACCGTCTCACAAAAAAAAAAAAAAAAAAGATTTAGGAAAACAGAATCAGATGTGTAACATACTTGGCACAGTGTAAAAATGGACTTAAAAGACAAAGAGAAATGGAGTTCCAGGTAGTTGTAATTCACACGGACTGAAAGTGAGCTTGGGCTTGTGTAAAACACATGAGATCGTATTTTACCCCTGGGCTCTCAAGCATCCAGTTAGATCTAGAACTGCTCTTCAGTAGCAGTTAGATCAAGTCAGTTTTGATCTGCAACAGTAGGTTATTGAGAATTTCTTTGTTCTAACAGGAAACTTTTTTTTAGATTGTTTGGTGGAATGGTTTTGCTCACAACAATAGGTGGAAGTTCCTAGTGCAGTCTTCATCTGTGGCTGTGCATATCATAGATTCGACTTGGTGAAATCCTTCTCCAAAGCCTCTTTTTGTATTTTTATAACTAAAAAGAGGTCTTCAGAAGACTTGACTTTAATAACAAATTTGTGCAAACACTGCTAGAGTCATTCTGAAGCTCAAGCATTTTCGCTTTCTTAACATGTGTACCTTTTTTGGTTTACTTGTGAAAATGGCCATCTTTTTTTTTTTTTACCCTCTGCCCCTGAAAATGGCCATCTTTAAGCATATTTATTTTTCTGCCACTTCTATTTATTTTAAGGCAAGCAATATTTTCTTGATCACAAATATTTTGGTTTTTTTGTTTTGTTTTGTTTTGTTTTTTTGTTTTCTTTTTTGCCCAGTCTCATTGTTGAAGCTTGTTGAGAGATCACAAATATTTTGTAATGAAATACTTCTTCTTTCCCGGGGCTTTATATTTTCTTGTATAATTACATTGATGGCAATGCATAGTTTGTGAATTTCAGTCTGTAAATACTTTTTTTTATTGCTTTAAAGTTTTGGATATCGGTGGTTTTCTTTTGGTGGCTTGATGGAAAGTCATTTGAGAACCTTAAGGTTCTCTTTTTTAACTGCTGGCACAATGTGGATTTTTGTATATCAGATAAAATGAGTAAATGAAATTCCCCATAAGTTAATAGTAAGTGGGGTCTTTGTGGATTGGGAAGTAGTTTTAATGTAGAAAGATGCTTACGAATAAGTCTGTTTAACTTCAAAGGAGTTTGTGAAAAAAAGATCCATGGTGAAAATAAAACAATGACATGGTTAATTTTCTGGAACTTTCATTCTTATACCAATAAAAGGTACCTCAATACATGTTCTTTTGATTTGTTTTTTGTTATTTTTTAATTTAATGTATTAAAGCATTTTGCAGTGGAAAACCCCTGAGGCATCGCTATTGAGGGAGGAATAGTGCTGGTGTGGTGGGAAGCTTGATGAAATTTATGGCATGCCAGGGTAAGGATGGCGTCCATGTGCACTGTGTGAAGTATCCACAACTCTCCCTAATCACACCCAGCTGAGTGAGTGAGGCCTGAACAGGTCCCAGGGAAGCAGACACTTCTTTCAAAAACTTAACATGCTTTGAAGGATATCTGTGGGGAAAAGTATTGTGAAGTCTCCTTATAAATTACAAGCCAACAATGGGAATTTTCTCTTTCACTAAAAAGCAAGCTGTCAGTTTTAGGAGTCTCCAGGGTCTGTCCTTTTGTTTGTGTGCTCTGGTTGGATCTTCCTTGATGAGAAGTGACTGAATTTATAGAAATGTGAAAGGACTAGCAACTACAGAGTGCCACGGGCTTCCTTTCCTAACCAGCTGTTTGACCTTAAGCAAGTTACATAACCTCTCTGAGCGCGAATTAAACTGTAAAATGGGAATAATAAGACACTAGTGTAAGGCATTAAGGATTTGATGCATGTAAAAGTTAATGGGCCAGTGTTTTCTTGTGAGAAAGGAAGCACTTTCATGGGAAGCTTTTTTTCACTTAAAGATAACTTCATTTCTTCCATAATACCTCGCTCCGTGGTACCAACTAAGATCTGAACTGGAGAGGAGGGACCAGTGTGTTTCCATTGCTGGGCAGTGCTTATGATGGTGGTTCTTAATCCTGGCTATGCCCTAGAATCCAATCCCTCAGGGGGCGCTGAGAAGCTAAGGATGCCCAGGCTCACATCACACACTAATTCATCCTCTCTGATTGAACTAGTCTCCAGAGGAGGAGTTTGGACATTGATGGGCTTTTTTTTCTTTTTTTTTTTTTTTTTTTTTTTTTTTTTTTTTTTTTTTTTTTTTTGAGACAGAGTTTCTTTTACCTCGGCTGGAGTGCAGTGCATGGTCTCGGCTCACTGTAACCTCCACCTTGCAGTTTCAAGAGATTCTCCTGCCTCAGCCTCCCAAGTAGGTGGGATTACAGGCGCCCGCCACCATGTGTGGCTAATTTTTGTATTTTAAGTAGAGACAGGGTTTCACCATGTTGGCCAGGCTGGTCTCAAACTCCTGACCTTGTGATCCGCCCACCTCAACCTCCCAAAGAGCTGGGATTACAGGTGTGAGCCACTGGGCTCTGCTACATTGATGTTTTTTAAAGTCCCCTGGTGATTCACAGGTGCAGGCTGCATTAAGAACTGTTCATTGGTTTGCAACTGCATACTTTTTTAAATTGTCAACTAATTGAACATCCAAAGCTCCACCATGCTTTCTTCCATTAAATGCTTTCCTTTTGTGTATTTCATTCTGACTTGTGGATTGTTGAGTGGCATTTATAATGTATATAATAATTTGGGGCCTGGGTCTCCCAGCACTTTGGGAGGCTGAGGTCGCCCACCTCAGCAACCTGATCACGAGGTCAGGAGTTGGAGACAGTTGAGGGGGAAATTTATGAAAGCAGATGAATACAGATGATAAAATACAGATGATAGCTCATGCCTGTAAAATGAGCACTAGGGGAGACCAGCAGGAGGATCTCCTGAGGCCAGGAGTTTGAGATCAGCCAGGGTAACATAGTGACACACCCATCTCTATATTAAAATATTTGAAAAACAAATTTTTTTTAAGACAGAATCTCTATCACCCAGGCAGGAGCGCCCTATTGATCATCTTGAGTAGCTGGGACTATAGGCCCGCTACCATTTCCAGCTAATTTTTATTTGTTGGAAAGGCAGGGTTCCCTGTGTTGTCCAGGCTGGTCTCGAACTTCTGGGTTCAAGTGAGTCCTCCCTCAGCCTTTCAAACTGCTAAGGTTTCAGGCATGAGCCGTAGTGCTGGCCACACACCTGCTTTTGCTTCCTTATTGGCTGTAGACCAAATTTGGTGGGGCTGAGATGGGAAGAGAAGTAGAGGGGCTTTCTGCTTGTTTTCTGGCTCACTTAGTTCTTTAACATAGGATTCAGCCTAGGAGACTGATAATCTGAGATTACTTGAAAAAAGATCACCCAAAAGTGAAAAACCAGTTTAAGGCAAACTGTGCTAGCCCCAGGGAGAACCCACAGAACCTTGTTCTTCACCTTTGCACTTCCCAAATGCCTCACTTTTATTGACTATTCTTGGCTCTGCAATTCTTTAGAGGATTTAGTACATACCAGATGAAACAAACTGAGGCTATGACCATTCTTCTACACGTGAGAAAACCAGTTCAGGGAAGTTAAGTAACTTGCTCCAGGCCAGCCTGCTGGTCGTTGATCACCCTGGATTCAAGCCCTGTTTTTAGCCACATGCTTCCTAATTGGGACTTAAAATTTCACCTGCATTACAATGAGTTGTTTACAGTCTAGGAGCATCTTATAGTGATGGAGAGCACTGCCTTTGGAATCACACAAAGCTGGGCTCAGTCTTTGTTCTACTATGTATTTCTCCCACTTTGAGCAAGTTACTCTGTGATAACGGAGGTGTTGGTACTGGCTCCTACATTTGTGAGGAGCAAGTGAGAAATGTAGGTGTAATAATACAGAGAAATAATTTCTTGGTAGCTAGAAATAGAGCTATTTTGGGTGAGAAGTTGGGTAAGCTGGCGATGGGGACACCATCTTCTACAGTCACTTCCTTAGTAAATTTCCTGGCATTTTTGTTGAATGGGATATGTAAGCTGAGGGAGAGATTTATGAAAGAAGACGAATACAGATGATAAAATTCGAATAAAGTTTTTGCTCATATCATGTGGCTCTTCTTAAACTCACCACTATATCTTTTGTAAAATTACTTTTTGTTAATGTGCTGCAGAGTCGGATGTATTTGAGCAATGTCTCCAACTTTTAGAAGAGAGCTCCAAGGTGAGCTCTTACCTTGGCGACCTGTCTTCAGAGTTGAGGGGGTGCAGTCAGTATCTGCAAATCCTTCCCCCATGGTTCCCAGCCCATCTGTGAGTGGCCTGTTGGATTCCAATCACGAAGTGTTATCGATGATCTCTTAATACATGAGGCTAGCACAGTTCAGGATATAGTTTCTCAGTTTAAGACTGTTG